GGCTTGTGGGGAGAGAGGTTTCTGGTCTGGAGGTCCAGAGTGAACATATGAGAATCAATTTTGCCCTTTTCTGTCAGGAACTGGTTCAGGGGAGCAGGTGAGGGTCTGGGGAGCTTCCATCTTGGTGCGGCTCTTAACAGCAATGGAAGGGTGGGGACTTCCATTGCTTTCTGGAGAGAGCCACTCAGGAAAGTGACTTTACACCTCAAAGAAAAGAAGGTTTTCCGGAGAAAGCCAGTCTCCCACATATGGGGAGAGACTTGCCTGAGTCCCCCCACCCCACACACATCTCCTATGACCCCCACGCCCTCCATCCCCCCCCCCATACACACCTGCCCCGCCCCGGTCCACTCATCCACAGCAGAGGGCAGCAGCAGCCTTGGGAGCTCCTTACCCATTTGATAGCTCTGGGTGGGTCTCTGGAGGTTGAGGTAACTGGGACAGGGACAAAATACCGGGCTCTGCAGCGAGGTGCCTCTGGGCCTTGAGTGGGTGCTGGCCCAGCCGGCCCCTTTCGTTCCTTTCTCCTCTTGGTAAATGTTGGCTTAGGGAGGGGGGGGTGACAAGCAGTTCATTGTAAGTGCACAGTGGATGGACCCGCTGGTGCGAGCCCATGGCAGCAGAGCAGACCCCCCCCTTGCTCAGGACATCTGAAGGATGCTTTCTGCCCATCCTCGCAGGCGCATGCTTACTGACTCAGGCTTAGTTGCCATGGGGACCTCATCATGGTGATGCAGCTTAGAAGCTCCCTCCTCAGTACTGATGCCACCTCTCCCTCTAACGGGGATCCCTCCTCCGAGTCAGGATCTGGGATGTGGGCCCACCGGCAGCTGGCTCAGGGTCTCTTCTCATTGCCTTGACAGGGTACCTTTCACTTGACCTAGGCTGCCATGGTTGTGTTTGGTTTGGCCCCTCAACTCCTGGAAAGAACCAGAACTTGTGCCTGGGAGCACCACCCCTAGGCCCTGGCACCTCGGGAGGTGGCTGCTGCCCTGAAGACCCTTGTAGTCTCCCACAGGTCTCAGCAGAGATGCTGACCTTCTCCCAAACTGACTCTGTCACAGAGGAATGTGGTCCAGAGTTATGCAGAGCCACCTGGCCTGTCCCTAAGCTTTCTGTCCAGAATGAGCTAGCTGTCATCTCCTTACAAGAGGGATACTGACTTCCAGGCCTCTGGGGGGTGGGAGGGTGGGGGGTGCCTTTACCCAGGTTTGGCCCCTTCACAACCTTGGGTCAGTCACTGAGACAGTCTCAGCCTCATCTGTACAACCAAGATCCCTTGCAGGTTCACAGCGAAGGACACGTGAATTCGTTTATATAGAACATACTTAACAGCGATTCCGGGTACCAAGTGTTCAGTCAATGTTAGCAGCCACTGGTTTGGGTGATGCTCGTGTGCATCACTGAAGTTGTTTCCTTAGGGCTTTCTGCCTGACTTCCTTTCCTGGCTAGTGGGGTAAACAGAGCCATGGCTGGTAACGTGAGAGGAGGACCTGTCGTCTACACCCAGTTACTCTTTCCACCCTGCACAGGATCAGGCCTCAGCTGTCGAAGGAGAAGATTGAAGGCTGTCACATCTGTACCTCCGTCACCCCTGGGGAGCCCCAGGTCCTGCTGGGGAAGGACAAGGCCTTCACCTATGACTTTGTCTTTGACCTGGACACCTGGCAGGAGCAGATCTACTCGACCTGTGTGAGCAAGCTCATCGAAGGCTGCTTTGAGGGCTACAATGCCACAGTGCTGGCCTATGGACAGGTAAGCCACCCCTGCCGCACACAGGGGCTCTTCCAGGCTCAGTCTCCCCCACCCAAGGGGGGAGCTAGGCCCACCAGACAGCAGTCAGCTGAGGCCCAGCTGTGCAGTTTTGTCTGGCATCTGAGTTATGACTGCATGGCTGGCTAGCCGAGGCAGGCTTTGATCAGAGAATTTTGTAGGGTATGGCTCTGAGTTCGAAAAGGGGCCGCTTGGCTGGAGGTAATGGGTAAGAGGATTTGGCCCAAGCCAAGGCTTGCTGGTTCCCCAGGGGGCCCGGCATTCACCATCTGCATCCTCTCTTTGCCATTGCAGACAGGGGCTGGGAAGACGTACACTATGGGCACCGGCTTTGACACAGTGACATCGGAAGAGGAGCAGGGCATCATCCCAAGGGCCATTGCACACCTCTTCAGGGGCATCGATGAACGCAAGCGGCGGGCCCAGGAGAAGGGCGTGACCGGGCCTGAGTTCAAAGTCAGCGCCCAATTCCTGGAGGTACTATGGCCTTGGAGGGTGGTGGGGGAGGAGATACGTCGGAACCTAAGGCCGTGGAAGCTGGAGCCTCCAACTGCAGAGAAATGAACCTAGGGAGCCCTGAGCTGCCGAGGATGAGTTCCCTGCTGCTGGGAGTGTCTATGCAAGGGCTAGAGAAACACTTGGGGGTAGCTGAAGTGTTTCCTGCTTCAGATGGGGCCTAAGATCTCAGACCCTGGCTGATTCTGACCTTGCCCTAGAGCAGGTCATGTGACCTCTCTGAACTACTTCTGCAAAGTGGGTTTGACCTCTTTCCTTGGGGTTAATGCTTCCTGCAGGGAAGCCTGTACCTGGCGCATGGTGGGAACCCTGGCTCTGGCACCGTGTTCTGGCCCCACCAGGCCCTCCCTCTGCCTCCAAGCACCTACCTGTATCTTTTGGACTGAGATGCATCCTGGCCTCTCAGTACAGAAGCGTCTCCAGCAGGGGCTTTGCTTCGTTCTGGCCCTCCAGCTTTGGAGCCTGAACTGTGCGTCCACAAGCTTTGGGGAATACGTGAGGGGGTCTCTGGGCTCGTTCACATTTGGGTTGTCCCATAACTAGGTGCTGTATCTTGGAGATGGCCTTCTTGGAGGGAAAAAGGTCCAGGAAGGTGATCCACCTTGGTATTTCTCACAGGAACCTGACCAGGCTCCTCTGAAATGTGTGGTTGGGTGGTTCTGATTCTCAGCATCTAGTTTCCGATACCAACGAGCCCTGCTCTGGCGCGTTTAGTGGGTTCGGAACCACCCTGGTCCCTAACCTCCCAACCCTGAGGCTTTAACCGAACCTTGTTTGCCCCCAGCGGGATGGACAGGGCTGAGGCGTGTCCCTGTATACTGCCCCAGTGTCCCTTTCCTGTGTACCCATGGTTGCTGCTTTCCCTGTAAGGGACCTGTATTTTAGTCCTCTGGGTTACATCTGTGTATATATATGCACATATGTGTGTCTGTGTGTGGCTGCCCAAGTGTTTGTGAGTATGCGTGTATGGACACGAGTGTTTGTGTGCCTGTGTGTGAATGTGTGCGTGCATGTTTGTTTACACGAGTGTGTGTCTCTCGCTGTCTGTCTATCACTGGGCTTTTCTCCATTTCCTTCCCTTTGCCGCTCTGTGGCCGTGGAGAACTTCAAAGAGCATGCTAGTCAATTCAGGCCACAGGGCTGATCGTTAAGGGGTTAACTGAGTCAGTGTGTCTATTACCCCAGTGTGCAGACACCATGGCACTCTGTCTCCACCATCTCTTCCTTCTGTTTCCTTTTCCCCTTCCTGTGGGGTATTTTTACCCTTTAAAGCCATCAAAGCCTCGGATGTCCCCTCTCTGGCTCCACTGGACTCTACTGGGTAATGCCCTTCTCCCCCTCCGCCCCCCACCCCCGCCCGCCCGGCCTTTGCCTTTGCCATCACAGCTCCAATCCCAGGAACCCCCTCAGCAGGCATCTCAAATGGGCTGGCCGCTCCTGACCACCTGGCACAGCAGTCTTCCAGAAGGCCGGTCTTCCAGGTGCCCGTTATTTCTCCCTCTGCTCCTGAGCACTGGGCAAGGCGCACAGTCATTCTTCCTCTATGCAGAGATGTCATAGCTCCCTCGGGGACCACAGTGCTCAGGGCACCGTCTCCCCGGACTCTCGGAGCTCTGCCTTCCTTCATCTGGAGTCACGGCCTCGTGCCGTCTCTGCCAGGCTGGCGATGTGATGAGATGCTCCCAGTTCAGGCTCATGTCTTCCCCATCACTCACCCCTAGGACCTGCATCCCTTTGTCCTTGTCCCCAGCCTGCCTCGGAGAGCTGAGAGCTGAGAGCTGCTGGATTCTGTTCCTCAGGGAGTAGAGCAGCATGCAGAGCCTCGGGATGGCACTGTCGTCTAGGAAGACCAGGGTTCAGCAAGTTCAAGGATAGCACTGTCTAGGAACACCAGGGTTCAGCAAGTTCAACTCCAGAGCTTGTTTCCACTTTAGCAAATCGAAATGGACTATAAGTACAAGGAAGGCCTTGGGGCTCTGGGCCATGTACCATAGGAACCCGGCCATGGTTTCTTTCCCATCACAGCTCTACAACGAAGAGATCCTTGACCTGTTCGATAGCACCCGTGACCCTGATGCCCGCCACCGCAGGTCCAACATCAAGATCCATGAGGATGCCAATGGTGGCATCTACACCACAGGCGTCACTTCTCGTCTTATCAACTCCCAGGAGGAGGTGAGCACCCTTACACATGGGCATCTTTAAAGCCCAGAGCCCGCTGGGTGGTGGTGGTGGCGGCGGCGGCGGCGGCGGCGGCGGCGGCGCACGCCTTTAATCCCAGCACTCGGAAGGCAGAGCCGGGTGGATCTCTGTGAGTTTGAGGCCAGCCTGGTCTACAGAGCGAGTTCCAGGACAGGCACCAAAGCTACACAGAGAAACCCTGTCTCAAACAACAAAAAACAAAAAACAAACAAACAAACAAACAAAAAACAGAACATAAAGGCCAGATCCCTGCAGCACCTGGGTCCTGATTCCTCTCTTTGCATCTGTCCCCAGCTGATCCAGTGCCTGAAGCAGGGCGCCCTGTCACGCACCACAGCCAGCACCCAGATGAATGTTCAGAGCTCCCGATCCCATGCCATCTTCACCATCCACCTGTGCCAGATGCGCGTGTGTGCCCAGCCTGACCTGGTGAGATGCTTTTGGGGGCCCAGGAGCTACATGCTCTAGGGGTATCCCAGGGACTGGATGAACAAACTTGGGGCGAAGCTAGAACTCCAGAGATGGGGCTTGCCTGTACCACTCCGTTTTTCAGCCTCTTCAGCCTCTCCCCGCATCTAGGCAATGGGATAATGGTCATTGATAGTGCGCGCAAATACAGTTGTTTGCTTCCAGATGCTCTGTACACGTGAGGGGCTGGCACCGTGCCGTCTGCCCTCGCTCCTGTGGATGATGGTGCTGTGGGGTGGAGGGCTAGCCGAGGAACAGGAGGCAGGGCCTGGGTGAGCCGGATGTCACATTCTGCTGCAGGTGAATGAGACGGTGACGGGGCTTCCGGACGGAGCAGCCCCCACCGGCACTGAGTATGAGACACTCACTGCTAAGTTCCACTTTGTGGACTTGGCCGGCTCTGAGCGGCTCAAGAGGACAGGAGCCACAGGCGAACGGGCCAAGGAGGGCATCTCCATCAACTGTGGTCTGGTGGGTACCCGGAGAGTCACCGGCCCCAGGAGCCAGATGGGACAGGCTCGAGCAGGCCGTGTACTTCGGTGGCTGCTCTTTGAGCTTCTTCTAGCTGCTGGCTGGGGCACCTGTGGTCACTCCTGTTGGATGGGTCTTCCTTCCTTCACCCTCAGGCCTGTTTATCACATCAGTCTATAAACCCACCCGGGAGCCTGAGTGCTGCTGGGGCCAGAGGGTACAGGCGGCGTTGGGTTGTGTTCCCTGCCCTCTTTGCGTGACTTTTGACCTCAGGCACTTTCTCCCACAGCTGGCCTTGGGCAATGTGATCAGCGCCTTAGGCGACCAGAGCAAGAAGGTAGTGCACGTGCCCTACAGGGACTCCAAGCTGACTCGGCTGCTCCAAGACTCTCTGGGGGGCAACAGGTATCTGATGACCAATGTCCAGGAAGGGCAGGAAAGTTCCTGGATAGAGATGACTGATGTGGGTTTAGGGCCTGACTCTCAGGACCTAGGGGATCTTCTCAGCCCAGGCTGCAGACTCGGAGGCAGGAACCTTGAGGGGATCAGTGACTTGTGGCTAGGTAGACTGGTCTTCATTACTTCTCAGCAGTGAGAGACAGTCCTCAAGGAAGTCCTCAAGTCCTCAAGGCTATTCCCATTGGAATAGCCCAATGAGACAAGCAATGGGAACTGCCAGGCATGCAGAGAGGCCATGCCATATTTACTTCACCAAGCAGATGGTTCTACAAGTAGGCATCCATCACCCCTTGATAACTGCTTTCAAGGATTGTCCTCTCTTGCTGTGGAAGATCTTGGACAGGTGGTCCAGGGTCCCACATCCCAGGTTCCAGGCCCTTTAAATTGGGGGGGAGGATCAGGGTGAAACGGAACCTCTGCTCTGGAGCAGTGCTCCTGGGTCTGGCTTTGTCCTTTGTCCTCACCCAGCCTGGTTGCACTCTTAGCCAGACCATCATGATCGCCTGCGTGAGCCCCTCAGATCGGGACTTCATGGAGACGCTGAACACTCTCAAATATGCCAACCGGGCTCGCAACATCAAGAACAAGGTGGTGGTGAACCAGGACAAGACCAGCCAGCAGATTAGCGCGCTGCGAGCCGAGATTGCGCGCCTGCAGATGGAATTGATGGAGTACAAAGCGGTAAGCACTCCCAGGCTCCCCTACATCCTCTCCTAGAAGGAGCTGGTGCTCTGCTCTACACCCTGCCCTGTAGCATCCCTAAACCAGGTCCTGAGTGAGCCTCCCACCTTCCCATCACCCAACCATCCTCATGTCTGCTAGACATCACTGTGCATCAGATGTGGTTCCCAGTACTGGGTTTTATGGCGAATCCATTTCAGACTGAGCCATCTAAGCTTAGAATACAAAGTCTAAGAATTTGAGCACCTTGGTTTTGTAGCATGGGTGTTTGGCTCAGGGAAGGTGTTTCCCAGGTGCTTGTATGCCCGCTCTGAGTGTATCCTGTTGGAATAGACGAGACCATTCCACTATAGTGCAGTCATTGACAGTGGGGGGCACAAGAGTGTGCTGAGGGGCAGAGGAGTCAGCCTGCTTGCTCGGGTGGTCAGGAAGGGCTTTATGGAAGGGGCCTTTCATGTAGATTTTGAAAAACGAATGAAGTATCAGCAGGAGGCCAGCAGGCATTCTGGGCAGAGAGTAAGCCATATAAAATACAACAGGAAAGGGAAAAACAGGTGCTCTGAGCGGCATGTCTAATTCTATAGATCCAAGGCTGACGTCACCCGCTGGTGGCCCATAGCCTGAATCTGGCACACAGATGGGTGGGCTTAGACTTGGTTTCAGAAGAATGCAACTTGTTTGACAACTTTTCTGGAAGTAAGCAGAGAGTCTCAACTTGTGTGGAAGAATTTGTCTCTACCAACAACTGGCGCTAAGATGGCCGGAGTGAGTGGCGGTGTTTATTATATGAAGAAATTTCATAATTCAAACACAAACAAGCTGTACATGGACAATCATAGCCTGTCTGTAAGCTGTTAGTCACTGGCCTCCTTTGCAACTCGGGACACGGACAGAATCAAGGCAATGAAGTGATTTCAAGTTCTGCACTGCTAAAATTTTACCCTTATAGTAGTCCCTTGACCAAGCAAGGACTGTAGTAACATTCGTAGGCAAAAATTAGAGGGGGCTTTGGAAGGGTGAAATTCATTAGTTTACAACATTAACTTTTTATTTACACAACAGACAGCTCTGTGAGCCCAGTGTCCTGGTGACCGTGTGCATAGTTGCTGATTTTAGCTTTAAGGTAGACAGTTAAACATGAGAGCAAAGAGAGCGGCTGCCTCTCCGCTCCAGTCCCCACCGCTCCCTGTTGTCTTCCACCCAGACTGACTCCCCCTGTATGCCAGTTGCCTGGCCCAGGTAGGGTTTTGTCACTCGGATTAGCATTCATCGTGGAGAATGAAAGTGAGTGATAGGAAGGTAAGTCAAGAATTTGGACTTTTTTTTTTTGCTGTCAGGGAGCAAACTGTGTTTTAGTTTCTTTGAGACAGGATTTCTCTGTATAGCCCTGGCTGTTCTGGAACTTGCTCTGTAGAACAGGCTGGCCTTGAACTCATAGATCCATGCTTGCCTCTGCCTCCCGAGTACTGGGATCAAAGGTGTGTACCACCACATCCAGGCTTTTTGACTTTTTTTTTTTTGGGGGGGGGGTCTAATTATGTAGTCCAGGTTGGGACTCACATTGCCCAGTCTGGTCTTGAGTTTGTGACGCTCATGCCTCAGACTTCTAGGCAGTGAGATTAGAAGCAGTGAGCTCCATATCCAGTGCTGTATAAGCAAGTACTGTAAGCTGTTGAGCCTTGAGAGACAGGAGCTAGGTCAGGAAACCTGGAGGAAAGGAGAAACCAGAAGTGTCACCCTGCCCTGGAGAAGGCTGAAGGCAGGTGGAAGAGGATTGCCACTGTACCCCTCCCATGAGAGAGGACTGCCACTGTACCCCTCCCATGAGAGAGGACTGCCACTGTACCCCTCCCATGAGAGAGGACTGCCACTGTACCCCTCCCATGAGATGTAGCACCTGATGGCTCCCTGCCTGTCTCTGTCCCAGGGCAAGCGGGTGATTGGGGAGGACGGCACAGAGGGCTACAGTGACCTGTTCCGGGAGAATGCCATGCTGCAGAAAGAGAACGGTGCTCTGCGGCTCCGGGTGAAGGCCATGCAGGAGGCCATCGATGCCATCAACAACCGCGTCACACAGCTCATGAGCCAGGAGGCCAACCTACTTCTGGCCAAGGCTGGTAAGTTGGGGTCCAGCGGTCTAGCTCAGAACAACATGCCTCCTTCCACTCCTGCCCCTTGGTGTCAAGCAGGCTGTGATGGCCAGCCAATGCACAGATTAGTTCATTTATGCATTCCCCAACAGTTTAGCATGACACACACATGGCTTTCTTGTTAAACATGTAAGAGCCACATAGTACACCAAGCAAAAGATAAGAATTCCCACAGCAGACTCTCCACCCACATCTTCTCTGCCTTCGGAAGGATCCTTCCTGAGCAGCCAAGTGCGTGTTTTCCCACACTTTCTCGGTACATTTGTTTTGAGTATAAATGCGTTTGAATATATCATTTGTACGTGTGTGAATAATATGCATGGCATTTTCTGTATATGAGGTCATCCTTTCTATTTTATGACTTCCTTTTTTTTTCCATTTAGCATCATGTCTTATAAAGCTCCATATTCAAAGGCACTTAATTTTGTAGATGACTGCACGATGTTCCATATGTGATGTTGAATAATTTATTGAACAGCCACTGTTGATGGATGTTTAGATTGTTTCCGATTTCATGCCATTATCCAACAGTGCTTTGATAACAACTATGATCATGTTCGAGTGTTTCCTTCACGTAGATTCCCTTATGGAAAAGCCCGTGTGAGCTACTATGTTGGAATCACAAGTGAGGCTTAGAGCCATGGCCCCAGTCCTTTCTGTTGTCACCTGTTTTCATTATTGTGCCTGTTTGTCCGCTCCGTTCAGGCGACGGCAACGAAGCCATTGGTACTCTGATCCAGAACTACATCCGGGAGATTGAGGAGCTGCGGTGAGTACGCCCCGTCCAGTGTGAGCAGGGCCGCATGGATGGCTTTGGCCAGGCCAGTTTTATGTGGCTCACCTGGCCCCACCTGCACACTCTGCCCACACAGAACCAAGCTCCTGGAGAGTGAGGCCATGAATGAGTCCCTCCGCCGAAGCCTCTCGCGGGCTTCCACTCGAAATCCCTACTCCCTGGGAGCATCTCCAGCAGGCCCAGCCTTCGGGGGCAGCCCGGCCAGCTCCATGGAAGATGCTTCTGAAGTGATCCGAAGGGCCAAGCAAGACCTGGAGCGGCTGAAGAAGAAAGAGGTCAGGCAGCGGAGGAAGAGGTAAGTGGAATGTCACTACCTCCCCTGCAGCCAGTACATCGGAAGGTGGGCAACCCCCGGCACCGTCCAGGAGGACTGCTCCCCACCCCACATATAGGGAGGACCACCCCTCCGCAGGCTCACCCCATTCCTAGGGGCATCACCAGTAATGCTTGGGAATTTCTCAAGCACTAACTCAGTTGGAGTAAAGCTACCTCTCCAACCTTCTCTTGGGTGCTTTTTCCACAGGGTTAAATTGCCCGAGATAGAGCAGGGTTGGGGGGGGGGGCAGACGACTGGAAAAATAGATCTGGTTCTCTACAAAGCAGGAACCCAGTCCTACCGCCATCCTGTGGTGTCAGTCTCTAATCTGGCTTCATTTTCGTTCCATAAGCAGCCCAGAAAAAGAAGCCTTCAAAAAGAGGGCAAAACTCCATCAGGAGAACAGTGAGGAGACGGATGAGAATGAGGCTGAGGAGGTGAGGACTCCCCCGGCCTTCCTCATCATGTCCCTGTTGGGGTAGAGATTCCATCACTGTCGTGTGGGGCGGGGGCAGAGATTTGCCTTTAGTTGATCCTTGAGTTTCTTGATAATGCTGACTTGTTGCCATGGTGATCTCCATCCCCAGGGCTTTTGCTTCATCCAAAATGGATGAAGCTAGACTGAGCATCCTCCACAAAGGCCTTGCCCAGGCTACTAGGAGGGGATGGTCTTCTCAGAGGAGGGCGTGGCTAGCCCCCACCCCTGCTGATACCCCCTGGAGTCTTGTGTGTGGCCCCGGCTCTGCCTCGGGCCTCCCATCTCCCGAGGCAGGTGCAGCCCTAATGGTACCTTGTGCCTAGGAGGAGGAAGAGAGAGACGAGAGTGCCTGTGAGGAGGAGGAAGGACGTGAGGATGAGGATGAAGACTCGGGCAGCGAAGAGAGCCTAGTAGACTCAGACTCGGACCCTGAAGAAAAGGGTACGTGGACCGGGGCTGAGGAGATGAGTTGCTTGTGGCCAGTCCCCACGGTGGGACTACTGTCAATCAGAACTTGGCTCCCCAGAGAAAATTCAGATGGATCCGGGTGGGGTCGGGCCTGCTAGCACGCTCAGAGACAGCTTGTCTAGACAGGGCTGGGACTCCTGCCTGTGAAGCCCACTAAAACAATGGTAATGACAAGTGATGGGAAGTGCTCGGCTCTCCTCACATGCCCATCACTGTGCTTTGTTTGACCCCTCCCAAGGCTTGATGGATCCAGTGCTCACCACTACTGCCTTGTGCAAAAGTATTAGGCTTCGCTGAGTTGCCACTGAGCATGCTCAGAGAGGTCCCTGACCCACTTCGGTGGATTCAGAAAGGGGTTACCTTTCTGAATGAATGACTTTGGCTGATGCCAAGACCCTCTCCTTCATGTGGAGACATCTGTCCCTCAGGTCCGTCCTGTTGTCATCTGTCACCTACAGCCCTACAAGGTGCTCTGGGTCATTTTACCCTCCTCCACCCAAGCAGGGTCCCATGTCATCAGTCAGGGTGGCATAGGCCTAGGGGTCCATCAGGGTGGGAATGGTGTTAGACTCTGGTCCAAGCTCCTGAGACCGGCTGTGCATTCCGGAAGCTGCTCATTGAATGTATTGCAATGAGTGAAAGGTGGCTTACCTTTCTGGTCCCTGATTGGCCACTGCTGACAAAGGATGTCCCCTGGCCCCGGGGGGCCCCTGGCATGGGGCTGAGTCTCGCTCTGTCCGGGCCCCTGCAGAAGTCAACTTCCAGGCCGACCTGGCGGACCTGACTTGCGAGATTGAGATCAAGCAGAAGCTGATCGACGAGCTGGAGAACAGCCAGAGGCGGCTGCAGACCCTCAAGCACCAGTACGAGGAGAAGCTGATCCTGCTGCAGAACAAGATCCGAGACACGCAGCTGGAGCGCGACCGCGTGCTGCAGAACCTCAGTGAGGACAGCGCCGTGTTCCTCTTTCCCGATCCCCTGCTCTGTCAAAAGACACCCAGCATCGATCTGCTCACACCTGGCCTTCTGCACAAGGGACCCCTGACCAACGTGCTGTGACCTCTGCCCATAGTTAAAGTGCTCTAACCCAGTCTCTCTGCTACTTTTGTTTTGCTTTCAAATTGCATTTGTGTGTGTGTGTGTATGTGAGTGGATGTGTGTGCGTGTGAGCATGCACACGCATGTGATGTGGCACACACATGTAGAAGTCAGAGGACAACTTGCAGAAGCCTGTCCTGTCCTTCCACTATCCGGGTCCCAGGGATTGAACTCTGGCCGTCGGGTTTGGCAAGCAAGTGCCTTTCTCTGCTGAGCCATGTTGAGACCGAGTCTTGCCATGTCGCCCAGGCTGACCTCAAACTTACGGCAATCTTTCTGCCTCAGCCTCCCTAGTGGTAGAACCATAGACAGGTGCTATCATGCCTAGCTCTTTTTTTTTTCTCCCATCTTATATATTAGAAATCATCAATCCTCTATCTCCCCAGGCATGCGACTAAGATACCTCCCAACCTCCCCCCACCCCGCTGTGTCCAGTTTATAAGACTTCTCAAATCACGTCCGCCCCCCCTTGTACTGCCTCGAAACCTCCTCATCCGATCATTCACTTCCTTGTCCACGTACTCAGCAAATGTTAGGTGGATGTGTTTCATGGAGCAGGTGTTAGTCCAGGGGTTAGAGTTGTTGTTGTGTGTAAAGTCCCCCTCATGGAGGGTACACTCGAGCAGCATTGCTAGCAGGCTGGCCTAATGAAGTCGGCTGTTTGTTTGTTTGTTTGTTTGTTAATATGGAAGCGGGGGTGAGGGCTTAGGGGTGGGACAGGCTGAGCCGTGGAAGACTACATGGAGAAGGTAACCTTGGAGTCAGGCCGCACAGAGCAGAACTAGCACTGGGAAGAACATTCCAGACCGGGGGAACAGAAGCTCTTAAGACCCCCAAGGCAGCCATGTGCCTGGCATGTTGGTGGAATGGCGGTCTAGACTAGTCGGAGAATAGGTCGTGTCTGTCGTTAAGATGTTTCCTTAGAGACTTAGAGAATGGAGAGGGTCGGGAGTTTTGAGGGAGAGGTGATACAAGACTCCAAAGCATTTCCAAACCATCGGGGTTTTTTTTTTGCTGTTGTACGGGAGGAGGAAAGTGGAAGCGAGACCACTTAGGAGGCAGACTGGACAGGTGGTAAGATGTGGTCAGGTTCAGGTGTTTCAAAGGTTGAGCTGAAGACTTGGCTGTGTGGACAGGAGGCGTGGTGGATGCGGGGGCCATGACTCAGGATCCGAGCCTCTGGGCAGGAGGCAGCGAGGTTTTCTGAGATGGGATGAAGTCGGGCTGGGGACGTCTCTTGGCCGTGGTGGGAGCGTCTGGTGAGGAGGCAGCTTTTCCATCCCCTGCAGTTCCATTAGACCAGCTCTTCTTGCTAACCTTCCGCTTCCTGCTGGCACCACCTCTCCAGGGACCGAGGTCTCAGTCACTACTGGGCACTAGAATGTCAGCGTAGGAAAGGGCCCCGGGGCAGCTGCTGAACCCACATTGTTCAAATGAAGGAGTCGCTCAGGGAGAGGCCAGCTGTAGAACCCAGGGCCTCTCTCCCCGTGGAGGCCACACTTAGTGGGAGCCGGGGAGCCTGTCGCTCTGACACTGCTTTTCGCTGCTCTCAGGCACCATGGAGTGCTACACGGAGGAGAAGGCCAACAAGATAAAGGCGGATTATGAGAAGAGGCTGCGCGAGATGAACCGGGACCTGCAGAAGCTACAGGCCGCTCAGAAAGAGCATGCCAGGCTCCTCAAGAACCAGTCCCGCTACGAAAGGGAGCTGAAGAAGCTGCAAGCGGAGGTCGCCGAGATGAAGAAGGCCAAGGTAGGCAGAGGACAGGAGGAGTCAGGCCTGTCCAGCTGGGCCTGTGCGGTGCCTTAGAATCCGCATCCTACGTTAAATATGACCACTGCTGTCAAGGGTGGATCTTCCACCGAACACGGCATCGCCCGATTCAATCCTGCCCCGATCAGGTGCACTTCCACCTGTGACCTCATCCAGTACCGGGCTCATTGCAGGTGCCTTGCTCAGTGCTGTTGCTGTGTTGGGAAGCTGGACTAACAGTTGCACTATTAGTATATTAGTATATATGTATATATTAGTGTATTAGCACTATAGCTGTACTAATAGTTCCTGCCTGCACAAGGAAGCCTTAAGGCCTCATTTGGAATAAGCCTCTCATCATAGTAATAATCGGCACCATGGCCAGCTCTTGCTGCTTAGGCATCTTGCATGCTCAGTCACATTCCATCCTTAGGAAAGGAGGACAGCATTTCCATTTGTGTTCACGGAAGTGGATTCCCGCCACCAGGATGTAGTGCTGGCATGCAAATTCTGCCCTGGGTGTTCCAAACTGGTGTTGTGTTCTTGGTGGCTCTGGGCTCCCTTCTCTACCTGGCCATAAACCCACATGGCACAGTCTGTAGGGTCTGCTCTTTTGATGTCACTGGCTCAGGTCTTGAACTTCTGGTATCTGGGGCTCGCAGATCCTTGCTCTGTGTATATCCTCCATCGTCCTTGGACCTTCCTGCCCTGGCCTTTAGCTTCTGGTGTCTCCCAGCTCTCCACAGCTAAGCTCTGGGGCTAGATCCCTACCAAAGCTTGGCAAAGGTGGTAGCCCCAGTAAACTGAGTCCTTTGGGGACTCATGGAACAGGAGCCATTATGTCTTGACGGCTGGCTGACTGATGCTGACCAGTGCATACAGGAAGGACAAAGTTCATCAATTTTAGAGGAAATGGATCTGTACCTGGGCGGGCTCTGCCCCCCAGGCAGGTCTAGGGCCTCCATCCACTGATGAAGAAGTCCCTCCATGCCTTGCGGTGATCAAACCCTCATGGCCCCAAAGAGCCCATTCTCACTCCCAGCACCTCCACCCTGTAGACCCGATGCCATTGATGGTAGAAGGACGTGGGATTCAAACACCCAGGGTCCTCTGAGGCCCTGGAGCCCTTTGGTAATGCAGAGAGGGCCCAGTAAGCTTTATCCCCAGGCTGTCTGTAGTCCACTGTGGCCTGGGCCTTCTGCAGGTACTGCTGAGGCAACTTTAGCATGCCTTTGACAGGCTTGTGTTTGTTCGTGCCCCCTCCAGCGCCTCCCCCCCCCCCCCGGGGATTTCTTACTGGTGCCTCTTCAGGGTAGTCCCAACCTCTCCTAGCCAGCTCCCATCTTGAGTGGAAATGACCCTAGAAAACCTCACAAGGGAACACTCTCCTAGGGTCCTGAAACTTGGAAAAAACGGCCAAATGCCCAAGACATGGTACAAAGACAGAGGCATCCGCACATGCATTTTCAGACCTCTGAAGCCCTTCATCCGGGACCTAGCCCTGCCCACCTGACCACGCTCTTGTGATTAGGCTCTTGTTACATGTGGAGAAGAGCCTGGGGTTATCTCAGGGGTGCCCCAGCAGGGCCCTGGTTCTCCCCTCGAGGGGTAGGAAAGAGGAGCAGCCGAGGACTGCAGGCCGAGCCTGTGCCTACAGATCTTGGCTGAGAGAGGGCCCACAGCTTCAGGGTCTCCTGCAGGAGAACTACAGAGCAATGCTGTCTCAGCACGGAGGCCCGTTTCTGCACTGCCCTGTGCCGAGCATGCGCTCACCTCCCTGCGGTGAGGAATACAGACACAACTGCAGGTTACCTAGAGGAGCCTGGATCTGGGAAGCGAGATGACCCAGGCTCCAGGTCTAGCCAGCTCTTCCTAGCTCTGTGACTGTTAGTCACTTTGTCTCGAAGGCTCATCTCTTTCCCTTTCTCACCTGAGAGCCGTAAGGATGGGGCCTGCCATGGAGCAAGCTCTCCTATGTGGCTGTCACCATGAGACTGGCCCTGAGGATGGTGGCTTTTAGTGGGGCCTGGGATAGACTTTAAATGGTACAGGCCACTTCTTCAACAGCTTGTCAAGGTATCTGAGCCCCTCAGGAGGAGTGGGAAGGAAATCTTCTGTGTCAGACCCCCCAAGTCAGTGATGCCTAGAGGGCTACCTCCCTGACCCGTGTCCTCCCAACCAGCTATGACTGAAACCCCACGGGTCACTTGCCTGGCCCTGCCTCACCTCCACCGCCTCTGCCATCCCAGGTGGCCCTCATGAAGCAGATGCGTGAGGAGCAGCAGCGGCGGCGACTGGTGGAGACCAAGAGGAACCGGGAGATTGCTCAGCTCAAGAAAGAGCAACGGAGGCAAGAGGTAAGAGCTCCCCGGAGCTTTCTGCCTCCTTCCCTTCTTCCAAGGACCCCCTCCCCCCAGTTCCCACTGTTCCAAGTGACAACAGCGCAATACAGCCTGTCAGAAAGGCAGAGCCACTGCCGGCTTCTGCCCCAACCCCCTGCATGCCCAAGAGAATAACTTGAGTCCAGAGAAGGGCGTGAATTTCCCAAGGTCACCAGCAAAATCAGACACGTGGAGCTTCAGGTCCAGAAGAAGTAGCCCAGGCAGACTGGCCTCTAGTCCAGGTTCATGTTCATGGTAGGAGATAAAGCCTAGAGAATTGTCCCTATGGGCAGAAATTCCTCATGACCACCCCCAGACAGAAGGATGCAACTCCGAGTATCATTCTATCTACATTTTGGCAGTGAGGGAATCCCCACACAAGAAAGTCTTGAGCTTTTGGCTACAGAGCGCCCAGCCTGTCTCCAGCCCCGTCTGGACAGCAAGAGGGCTCTTGGTGGCTGAGTGTGGCCCAACCCTTTTCTTCCAGTTTCAGATACGGGCCCTGGAGTCTCAGAAGCGTCAGCAGGAAATAGTCCTGAGGAGGAAAACCCAGGAGGTGAGTGCTCTCGTCAGCCCAGCAGGATGTACAGGGTTGACTCTGGATCCCACGTTACTCTCCTCTGAAGCCATAAGGGGCCGTGTGTGTGTGTGTGTGTGTGTGTGTGTGTGTGTGTGTGTGTGTGTG